AAAATAGAAAAACTTTATTTTACATCATAATAATATTTCACAATATTACATTTTTTCCCCGTATTTTTGATCAAATAAATGCAGCCTTGATGAACATAAGAAACTCCTGTAAAAAAACATGAAAAATCGTTCTGATCCCAAACTTTTGACCGATAGTGTGTGTGTGTGTGTGTATGTGTGTGTATATATATATATATATATATATATATATTATAGATAGATGGATGGATGGATATAGATGGATAGAGAGATAGATATATATAGACAGAGATAGATATAGAGAGATGGATATAGATGGATAGATGAATAGAGAGAGAGAGAGATATAGAGAGATGGATTGATAGAGAGATAAATAGAGAGAGAGAGATAGAAAGATAGATATAGAGAGATAGATAGAGAGTTATAAATAGATGTACATACAATAAAAAGAAAACAAGTAGATATAATAGAAAAAGAATAGAGAAAGCAAGTGTTAGAGGGTCATGTTTTTTTTTAAATATAAAACAAATGGATAAAATAGAATTAGAATGGAGAGTGCTAGAGTTAGAGTGTCAAATAAAGATGGAAGAGATGTGTTTTTAGCTGATTGTTGAAGATGGCTAAGGACTCAGCTGCTGGGATTGAGTTGGGCAGGTCATCCCACCAGGAGGGAAGAGTTAATGTAAAAGTGATTTTGTGGCTCTTTGGGATGCACAATAATGCACCGTTCACTTGCAGAACTATAGGTAGGTGCTGACATCTAACAGCAGGACTTTTGGTTGCAGTGAATCGCTCTGAGCTGTAGTCTTTCATTTGCTCAGACGAGGAGATCTGTTACTGTCTCGCTCGATTTCAGAACGACCCGTCTGCACAGATGAGGAGCCCAGCGTGAACGTGTTGAGCAGTCTTCGCTCGGTGTGGCACACTTCCCCAGCGGCTGTAACACATTGCTCCTGGTGTCAATCAATCATGAGGCGGTCGTCTTGTTATCCTCACCATCCCTGCTAGTGCAGACTGCTGTTTCCTCAACCTCAGACACACACACACTGGTCAGCTTCATCCAGCTTTTCTACATACAAGTCTGTCTATGTCACGTTCTCAGCTGACAAAAAAACCCCCTGCTTTAGCCTGATTATTGTATAACGTACTGAGTGAGATTGAACGAGGCCTGGTGTTGGTGAGAAGGAAATGTTCCTGTACAGATATCCATCAAACTCCGCTCATCTCCACCAGCTCTCCGTAAGCTTTTCAGAGCCTCGTTACAGCCCTGTAAACCGTTTTCGCTTTCATCAGCGTGTTGCATGTTCTAGTAACCCTGTCGCACATCCGTCGGCTCTTCACACGACTCGACCTAGAGGAGGTCCTCTCTCCTGATCTTCCTTTGAAGGCCTCCGGAGATGCTGTGCCGGGATCAGTTCTGCGGTTTCTCTGGTGCATGACGACTTGTTGCCATCCAGTGGAACGCTGCTGTTCTGTTGTGGCTTCAGTCTGGAGCATCCATCTGATGATGAATCTTTCCCTGAAGCCCGAGTCCTAATCCGGCTAAAGCGCCCTCTTGTAGACCAGCCATGGAGGATATAATGAATTAGGTGTCTACCCAGGGTTCCGTGACCCTTGACCTGTGACATCATCAATCAGGGAGCACCTACACTTAACTGAAGTGCAGGGGTCAGAGGGCAACAGAAGGTAATGCTTAACAACTGTCTATGAGGCTTGGGGATTGATTTCCAGTTGCTTTATTTTTTATTTCACCGTAATACGCTCCAAGGTGATGCGTTTATGTGGCGTTCGCGATTCGAGGGAAATTTTAAGCGTACCAGGAAAAAGAAATATACCGTGCGAAGAGAGGACGACCTTTAAAAAAAGTGAGTCCCAACTTTTTGGGCCTTACACATAGATTGGTTCTTGTTTATCATTGAACATACACTATCATTAAAAAATTGGGGTCAGTAAGATTTTTGAATGATTTTTGACGTTATGCACACCAAGGATGCATTTGTTTGATCAAAAATACAGGCAAAACAGTGTTTTTTTAATTTTTTAAATTTATTTTTATATTATAAAATTAAATGATAAAATTAAAACCATAAAAAAATTCATTACTTGAAATAAAATATAAAAAAATTGCGAAGGCAACATATCTCATTTTAATTTTGTATAACTTGATGCATCATCTAAAAAAATATATTTAAAACTAAAATAACTAAAACTATAATAAAAAATAATAAGAACTTTAATATTGTCTCAGGGATATTAAAATATCAAAGCTGAATTTTCAGCATCATTACTCCAGTCTTCAGTGTCACATGGTCCTTCAGAAATAATTTAATATGCTGATTTGCTGCTCAAGAAATATTTCTGATTATTATCAATGTTGTGCTGCTCAATATTATTGTGGAAACTGTGGCAATTTCTTTTTTCAGGATTCTTTGAAAGTTCAAAGGAACAGCATTCATAAAGCATAACATTATAAAGGTCTTTACTTTCAGTTTTCAGTCAATTTAATGCATCCTCGCTGTCTAAAAGTATCATGTTTGTTTTTTTGTTTGTTTTTTTAAGAGTAAACCTACTGACCCTAAACATTTGAATGGTTGTGTATGTCAATGCTACTCGTTTGTAATAAGTAATAAAAAAAAAAACAATAAATGTGCGCTATATAAAAAGCATTTTTTATTGTAGTTGATATTTGCATGCAAAAAAGTCAACACTGTGTTGTCACTTGCACAAGGAGACAAATTATCTTCTGTGTGTGTGTGTGTCTGTGTCTGTCACATGGTCCTTCAGAAATAATTTAATATGCTGATTTGCTGCTCAAGAAATATTTCTGATTATTATCAATGTTGTGCTGCTCAATATTATTGTGGAAACTGTGGCAATTTCTTTTTTCAGGATTCTTTGAAAGTTCAAAGGAACAGCATTCATAAAGCATAACATTATAAAGGTCTTTACTTTCAGTTTTCAGTCAATTTAATGCATCCTCGCTGTCTAAAAGTATCATGTTTGTTTTTTTGTTTGTTTTTTTAAGAGTAAACCTACTGACCCTAAACATTTGAATGGTTGTGTATGTCAATGCTACTCGTTTGTAATAAGTAATAAAAAAAAAAACAATAAATGTGCGCTATATAAAAAGCATTTTTTATTGTAGTTGATATTTGCATGCAAAAAAGTCAACACTGTGTTGTCACTTGCACAAGGAGACAAATTATCTTCTGTGTGTGTGTGTGTCTGTGTCTGTGTTTGTGTGTGTGTGTGTGTGTGTGT